CCTGGTGGCTCAGTGGTTGAGTGCTGGGCTGCGAAGCTGTCTGCAGCCTCTGCGGGCACAGTTCGATCCCCGGCCACCAGTGAGGGTCCCACATGGTGCGCAGACCTCTCCTGGTGCGCCCGCTGCTCCCCTCAGCAGTGTCCTTCGGTCCTTCTGCCTGTTCTGTTCCCTGCTCTGACTCTGGTGAATCCTCTCACCCTCCCGTGCTTCTGACTGTACCCAGTGCTTGTATAAATAAATAAATCTTAAAAAAAAAACTGTCTTAAAAAAAACGTTCCCAGAAATGTAAATTGAAGTAAAATTTGGTAGTCTGTCATTTGGTTGATAAAAGGAAATTTTGTGGAACCTCAGTAGAGCACCTGAGACACTCCACAAAATTTCTCTTTTTCTTCTGGGGAGAATTTGTCCTATTTGGTTTCCTCAGTAAAGAAAACTGGAAGGGAAGCATCATAACTTGGCAAAATGATAAAACTTCGGCATGTACAGAAATGTTAACACTGTTTTCTGAAACTTGTGTAAAACCTTTCATTACCTATGTATGTAAATTGCCTGTGTTGATTGTTGTCCCACAATATTGTATATGTCAATGGTTTGGTATCTGCAGAAATTGTTTCTGGAGAAAAAGACCCCAAATGATTCCAATTAATGGAACTTTGACAGTGAGAATTTCATACAAAGGACTGAATAGACTGGTGAAGATAAACCTGATTTTTACTAAGTTTTGGTTGAAATAATACTGGTAATTTTGTTTGCATTTTGTTTTGATTCAAAGGAAATTTTCTCATTTTGACCAACCAGGATAGGCAGCAATATTGCATTGTGTTTCCCAGCAGAGTAACTTGTGTTTGCGTTTTCTCTCCCCTTGATACCAACACAGTATGAAAAATAGTGGTAGTAATTTTCAGTGCTCATGGCAGAGTATTTTTGCATAACTTCAATGGGGAATTTTGTTTGCTTAAACTAGAAAATTGGAAACATGTTCCATTGGGAGGCTTTGATTGGAATTCTTCCAGGCAGTTGAATTTGAGCGGAACCAGGACGAGAACCTGCTCTTTTGTTTGTAGGGTTCCAGAGACCTCCAAAGATGGTGAGGAAGCTGCCTCCATTGGCAGGACTGGACGACCGGGAAAAAGCAAAAGACCTGGTAAACCTTGAGACGAGGACACACCAGGTGGACTCTGGAGAGACCAACTTCGTTCCTGCGCAGACCAGATGTCAAGAGTTCACTCTGATCCTATGTGGGGTATTCCAGCACAGCCCGCTAAAACTGCTGTTGGTTATGCTGTCCTATGTTTTATGCAAAAATAGGTTAAATGGTTTAAAAGTAGATTTAGGGGGTTTTTTTGTTTGTTTTTTTGTTTGTTCTTCCTAAACAGCCATCTGTGTTTCTCCATCATAACTTCTTTTAAGTTTGTGGCCTTTCCTGACTCATCTTTCAATGTTTTCCAGAGAACTTTCCCACGTGGAAGAAAATGCACACCACATAATGACTTTTTATTTCCCATGAATCCCTAATCAGGTTCCTTTGTTCACAACCAAGTAGTTAAAAAAAAAGTAGATTTAGTTTGCAAATTTTTACTATACTGTTGGATAAAGTTGGGATCAAGGTGGACTAGAACTTTAAGATCAGTTAATCAGTTTTTAAGATTTTTTTTTCTTCTTGTGATTTTGATATTTTTGCTGTTTTGTTTTGGCTAGTGCCTCCCGATGATTTTCTTTTGGCGTGGACTTAATTCTCTTCCAGGAATAGAGGACTTTTGTTTGCCACACTTGACGAAACCTGGAGACTGGTTTTTGTTCTAAACTGGAACCCTGAGAAATTATCATCTGAGCCGGAACCCCAGCATATACACATCTGACCTTCAGCAACATAGAAATGGGGTCAAAAAATGAAAGGGGGGAATTGTTGGGGAGAAAGGACGCCCTGAACAAACTCCACTACACAGGTTTATGTGGACTCCTCCCTCCCACTCCAGACTAACCACTGGGAACTACAAATCCCATCATGCCATCTTCATGGAAGGAAGGATTGGAGGGGACTGAGGGTGGAGTTAAACAGTCAGGCCCGGTATATAACCTGATAGGTGGACCGTGGGGGTTCTCTTGGCATTTCGCCACCTCTCTGTATGCCGTGTGGGCCCCGTGTGCCCTGAGGGATTCCAGCTCAATGGAGCTAGTAGGATGCATTCACCAATTTATCTCCCTCTCCTTGAGTTCTTCATTCCCCCTTCTTTTGTAAATAAACCATTTATGAACCTTTCTGTGTGTGTCTGTCTGCAGTTCAGTCTTAAGTTCTCCGGTGAGGACCCACAGTCAGGCAACCCATTTTATATCAGCGTTACCCTGTAACATGAATCACAGGGAGGACACAAAAGGGGGAGAGTAATGGAACTCATCACTTCATTGAGAACTCACTCAGTATGTTTATGATTTGTATGGGAATATTAGGGCTGAGTTAAAGAACAAAACAGTCAGTATAGGGAAAGAACAAATGGTGTAGTTGATTTATGCCAAAAACTCAAGGTACTACGGGGTAATAGATGCTTTACATATGGAGGGTGTTTAGTGGCATATGGTAGTTGTTAATCGACTGATATTCACATTGCACTCGGGAGTATCTAGGTGTTAGATTTTACTAGGAAGAACTTGTGAGGGGGGGGCAAGGAAGGGGGGGCAAGGAAGGAAGGGGGGCGGCGGCAAGGAAGGAAGGGGGGGGCGGCAAGGAAGGGGATCTGAAGCACAGAGCATAGTGGAGCAGCAGGCACAGAGAGAAGAGACCTTCTGCTAGCACCACATGCGCTCTAGCTCCATGCCCCCTTCTGGGGGCTGACTCCCACGCTCCTTGCGGGTAGCTCCCTGGCCGGGGCTCGAACTCAGGCCGCAGCAGTGAGAGCGCTGAGACTAACCCCTAGGCCATCCTGGAGGCCCCGCCAAGGGCTTAGTTAAATGGAGCCTTTAACCTTTATTAGGCGGCTTCAGGAGAACTACTGACAGCTGCTTCTCCAGCAAGTCAGAAGAGACTACGGCTGCCCTGCCCTTCCCTTCCCTTCCCTTCCCTCAGTGATCATCACTGTCTCCTCCTAGGGCCCCTGGGCACTGAGGGAAGATGGCTTTCAGCAGCACCTCCATGTCTTCATCGGTGACAAGAGGGGGCAAAGTATGGAGATTTTTCAAGTCTTAAGTATTTTTCATTGATGAATCAGAAGAAAAACCTACACAGTTCAGAAAGTAATCAGGATTGTACTGATCCTGAAAGATTTCTTTGGTGATGATCATGTGTAAAATCAATATTTAGAAGTTTCTAGAGATTTAAGTATGCAGACTTCTGATGTCCTCATAGAATAATGAATGCTCTTAGCGAGCTGAAGAGACTCAAAAAAACAAAGTAAATAATCCAGTCACAAAATGGGCAGAAGAGATAAAAAGGAACTTCTCCAAAGAGGAAATGCAAATGGCCAACAGGCATATGAAAAAATGTTCAGCATCACTTGCAATCAGGGAAATGCAAATCAAAACTACCATGAGATACCACCTTACACCAGTGAGAATGGCACATACTAAAAAAACTAGCAACAACAAATGTTGGCGAGGGTGTGGAGAAAAAGGAACTCTCCTGCACTGCTAGTGGGAGTGCAAACCGGTCCAGCCACTGTGGAGAGCTGTGTGGAGATTTCTGGACCTACTAAACATAGAGCTTCCATATGATCCAGCAATTCCACTCCTAGGTATTTGCCCAAAGGACACAGAAACATCAATTCCAAAGAGCACCTGCACCCCTGTGTTTATAGCAGCACTGTTTACAATAGCTAAGCTTTGGAAACAACCCAAATGCCCAAAAATAGATGCCTGGATCAAGAAGATGTGGTCCATATACACCATGGAATATCACTCAGCATTCAAAAAAGACAAACTCATGCCATTTGCAGCAACATGGATGGAGCTGGAAGGGATCATGCTCAGCGAAATAAGCCAGAAAGAAGACGAAAAACACTGGATGGTCTCACTCATAGCAGGAATTTAGAAACCTAAATAAAGGACCAGGAAAAAGACTAATTATAATAAAATAGAAGTCAAAATCAACAAGCAACTATAAACCAGAGACACTATGGAGGGAGGGAAGTGAGGAGGGATTAGGGTCAAAATAAGGGGGGGGGGGGGTGAATTGTATGGGGAATATAACCAAGATGAAAATGTATACATTGTACAAAAATGAAAAAAGATGTAAAAAGTATATACAATTTAAAAAAAACAAACAAAAAAATAATGCTCTTAGCGGCTGTGTTACACGCACTGCATGGTAGCCTGAGAGTGAGCAGACACCGGGGGAGAAATAGGTCCTTGACTGTGTCACTATTGCTGCTTATTGACAAGAATTCCCGCCGCCTTCTGACAATGGACAATCTTTCATACACAACATCTGCGTTTTCAATCAGCACCTTGAGGGCCTGGAGCATCAAGCTAGAAGCTCTTACAGGCTGTCCTTTTGGGGTTCTGTGGTGGCTTCCTAACATGGGCGTGATTGATGAAATCACTGGCCCTTGATGATGATCTCAAGCTACATCCTCACCCCCTCACAGGAAATACGTACTGATCTCTCCCTCTTACACTGGTATTGTATACCTTTGACAAATGCATACCTATTAGATCAAATATAAATAAAAAATATTTTATTGACTGATGTTTATTTTTCCTTTATTTACCTACATTTATTTTAGTTTATGACTATGCAATATAAAATTTATGACTCTATAATTCTCCTTTCTGAATGGATTCTCATCATAAGCTGAACATGATTATCTATTGAGTCAATAGATTGGACAGACACAGCAATCTTTGATGGTGTGATAAAAGTGAGATATTTGGAATCAAGTAAAATCAAATCTATAAGGCACAAGTAAGGTACACGAACAGATGTTGACTTTCCTTGTTGTACTGACTCTCATCTCTTAATTCACATCTATGGGCCTCATAGGGGCTACACAAAACCAATGAACGAAAAGAACTCAATTCTGAGAGATAACTTTGCTAGCAGAAAAATGACCCGCTGCCACAATGTGGCGCCATTGCTGCTGCTCTGCAATCTCTCAATGAACACATCTGCAATTGTGCACTTATTTTTTCTCTGTATTTCTATATTTTAAAAATAAAGTACATTGTTGTACATCCTTGTTAGTTCTTTGTTAGTGTAGGATTTCTCCCCTCAAGTGTGGTCGCCATAGTTAACCTACCAGCAAAGCACCTGTAGTCCATGACCTTAGTCTATCCTTTGCACTTGTTTTCTTCACGTTGTATAGAAGAAATGGATTAAGTAGAAGAAGCCATACATTTCTGGGCATTAAAGAATAGTTTGTGTGGTTGTTCAGAATCCTAGAAAAAAATAAGATCGAAATACTGAGGATAAGTAAGCTTGGATGAAAGATATGTGTATATGATGAAGTAACTTATATCTTGAAAACCAGGGAGTCATTTAGTGGCAGGTGATTTTATCAGAAGGCTTACATCTTGGAAGGTGCAGTGATTTATCTCTCCATATCCTCCAGATATTTCTTAGCTTGTAAGTGTCTTCTAGTACCACCGTCTGAAAATTACAGAAGCTTGGTTAACAACATGGGAATTCACATTGCATTGCCTTAGACGAAAAACAATAATTTGGACTAATAGGCATATAGCAATCATTGCTCTGACATATGCAGGAGCATCAAGAGAGTCCAGAATAATAAGAATACAGAATGATCAATTAAACCAGCAAAGGGGCTGGCTGGAGACAGTACCCTGAGGAGCTGAGCACAGTATATAAAACTAAACTATTGGACTATTTATGGTGCTGTATCCCCAGTAGCTAGACGAGATGGGTCTGAGAGTTAAGGAATAGAAGTATGATGAGCTCTAGTCACCATCATTCATACTGACCACTTAATGTAATTTACACTTCTCATCTGTAAAAGTTAATTTCACTGAAATAAAAATCTTGCCTCCATGGGGTGGGGGTGGGAAAATGATTTTACAAGACATTACAATGAGAATACCACTAAAATTAAAGATACAAAGGGCTACATATTTTGTGCATTTATGCTGGCATGCTAATAGGCAAATAAAAGATTTTATCTATTGATGATGATCTAGTTGCCATAATTGTTTGACTAGTAATGATCCTGCTCACTGTGACAGGTGGGGGAACTCACATTGTGAGTAGGAAGAGCTATTTTACGACCTGAGGGACGCCTGATACTTATATGCCTGAAATAACCGAACACTGGTATTTGTCACAACCATAACCTGATGGGTATATCCCAACTAAGTCTTCCCAAGAGGCAATCAATGAAGACCGGTGGAAGACTGGCTGAAGCACAGCGGTACAAAGTAGAATGAGTGGGAACGGAGAAAAATGATGTCAATTATGGCAAAGTTTCAACTGGAGCAGAGGGGGCTGTGTCTGCTCCGCTGACACTCTTCTGCAGCGACCTTTGTGGTGATCGAGGCACTGTACAACTATGACGGTCATCTGATTTAATATGCACGGTATGACAAGGGAGCGAGCAGTGTTGGTCTATGTTGAAAACATCATGTCCCCGCCTCTTAGCTCTGTTTCAGCTGCTGGGTTTGGGGGAGGTTGTTTTTGTGTGTGTTCGCTTGTTTGGTAATTAGAAAACTTAGGATGTCTCTTGTGTTGAGGAAGGCAACCACGAGAATGTGAGCACTTGTTGATTCAAAGTTGGACCTGGGATATTAAAGGCGCTGTACCTCTTCTCCCATCAGTATACACTCTGTTTGCCTTCCTTGCTCCTAGAAGCTGCCCAAGGACATATGACTGAAAAAGAAAAATGTTTAGACAATTTAGACAATACAGGTGATGACATAAACTTTTCAGTTTCGGTGATTACATTAACTTTTCAGAAAACCCCTTGTCTTATAGCTGACCAAGACAAAGTTTTGTTAAGTACGTACCATTCATTATTAAAAATGCCACCTACCAATATTCTAAGATCTTTCCAGGCCCTCCATGGGTGGCAGTGGTTTCATATCATGCTTAAACAATCTCCTGAGGTTGTGACCTGTGACACAAGCACAGAGAATTTGCAAAACTATGAGACATGGCAATATGGATGGGTACAAAATGAAAATTGTTTCTATGTTTTCTTATATTTTTGGCATTTTCAAAGTTGTGAACAGTAAACTATTTGTATCTGTTCAAAACTTGTTAGGAAATTATTTTACTAAACATTTCAACTATAAAGACTCATACAGTTGGAAAAGTTATATAGTGATCTCTTGAATAACCAACAATTTACCCCTATAAAAAAATTCTGGAATGAACATAAAGGATTACACACTGATTTCTGACATCTTACGTTTTTCTCTAACCATTGAGAACAGAATGATTGTACGACTCCAAGACCATCCTCCAGGTTGTAATCTATGTGACTTTTCTGTCTGTAATTGTGTAATGAGAAAAGCCATCTACCAACATCTGTTTTAAAGAATCCATAGCTCTTAGCTTTATATCATTATCTTCCTAGCAAAAAACCTGAGTATTTCAGGACTATTAAAATTATAGCTTTAAACACATTACCAAACCATGATTTAAGGTCCGCTAACACCTATGGGAATATAATTGGCTCGAGTTTTCCAGTTGAGATCATGGTCAGAGGTGTGATACATGCCAGAAACCTCAGAAGAACATCACATATTCACACATCACTCCACCCTTTGCCACAAGGAAGAAAAAAAAAAGGAAACAGAAGACTAGCAACTGTCCACCTTTTCCTAAAGTCAAGGCATTACCAGTTCCCCTGTGCAGAATAGGTTGTCAAGTTCCATGTCTGAATGCACAGAGAAATGCACAGGTCTTCTACTTCAAGATATCATAGAAATTAATTTGTCGATGTCATTCACTGTGAAGTTTCAACACCATTTGAATAGACTTTGGAAAAATTTTATTATCATTTGTAACTTTGGGGAGAAAAGTTGTAGAGAATCAGATTAAACATTACAGCCATGGTTTTAAAACGCTCATTATTGTATCATTCTGCCCTGATATTATCTAATCATTTTATTATTTTTACTAACATGAAAAGGACCTATGAACATATGAGTCAAACCAAAGCTAAACTGTGAATAATAAAGTTAAACATTAGGTCTTCCCACATGCATAACTCTTACTCTCTCTACTTGATATTATTTGTCGTTTCTTTCATTTTTGAAAAGTTCTATGAGATGTAATGGATATAAGCTCTGCATTTTGGCCAATTTTATTGAGGTGTAATTTACATAGCACATCATTGTTTATTTATCTTAATGATTTCATATATGCGCACATTGCATAATGATTACTGCAATAGATTTAGTTAACCATCCTCACCTCATATAGTTACAATTGTTTTTTCCTTGGGACGTGAACTTTTAAGAGCATGTTTATCAGCTCTTCAGTATACACTAAACCACTGCCAACGATAGTCACCGTGCTGTTCATTAAATCCCCAGAACTTATCTATCTTATGACTTGTACCTTCTGACCATTACCATCCATTTTTCCCACCCCTAGTCAATACCCCTAGAGTATTTGAAAAACTATGACAAGTGGCAATATCAGTGGGTACAAAATGGAAAATTGTTTCTATGTTTTCTTATATTTTTTGGCATTTTCAAAGTTGTGAACAGTAAACTATTTGTATCTGTTCAAAACTTGTTAGGGCATTATTTTACTAAACATTTCAACTATAAAGATCCTAATCAATACCCTAGTCAATACCCCTGGCAACCACCAATATTTTCTCTGTTTACGAGTTTGGGTTTTTTGGCATTCCACATTAAGTGAAATCATACAGTATTTATCCAACTATCCATAAATGAACACTTAGGTTGATTCCATGTATTGACTGTTGTAAATAATGATGCAGTGAACATGGGGAACAGATACAGTGATTTCATCCATTTGGATATGTACCCAGAAGAGGAATTGTTTGTGAGATTGAACATATTGTATTTTTCAAGGAATTGGTTCATTTCAGGATTATCCAATTTGTGGACAGACTTGTTTATAGTTTCTTCTCCTTCTCTTTCTTCTTCTGTAATCCTTTACAATTATATGGAACTTGTGACACTTTATTTTCTCAAGTTAGCAGACTGTGCCCTACTCTCGTCTTACTGAATCTTGTTAGAGCCTTATACATTTTACCGATCTTTTTAAAGAAATAATTTTTGTCTCCATTTATTTTTTCCATTAATTTCCTGTTTCCAATCTCACAAATGTCTGCTCTAGGCATTATTATTTATTTTCTTCTACTTGCTATGGCCTTACTTTTGTCATCTTTTTCTAGTTTCCTAATGTGGAAACTTGTATTATGCGTTTTACATCTTTCTTCTTTTTATATAAATTCAAGGCTATGAATAGCCCGTGGTACACTGGATTCTCTATATTCCACATATTTTGATAAGTTGTGTTTTCATTTTTGCCCAATAAAAACTATTTTTTACTTTCTTTTGAGATTTAATACACAACAATAAGTAAATAATTAAATAAGTAACTGGGGTGTAGGTCAGAGATGAGGGGGTGAGAGGATTCACCAGAGTGGGGAGCAGAACAGGCAGAAGGACCAAAACACACTGCTAAGGGGAGCAGTGGGGCACCACTGGAGAGGTCTGCTGTACCTTATGTGAGTTAACTCCCTGGCAGGGATGGAACTCAGGCCCATAGGGGTGATAGGGCTGAGATTAACCCCTAGGCCACCAGAATGGGCCCACCTGCTGTTAGATGAAAAATTCTATAGCTATCCAATTAATTGACACTACTCTTGAGTTCCACTATGTCTTCACAGAGTTTTCCCTCTGGATTTGTCCAGAATGAGTGTGATGGGTGTAGAAATATCCAACTATGTCAGTAGATTCATTTATTTCTCCTTGCAGTTCTTTCAGTGCGCTTGATTCTCATTGATTTTATGCAGTGAACTTTTCAATCTCAGACATAGCAATTTTCATCTCTTGAATTTTAATGTGTGCCTCTTTTATATAGTCTATATCTCCTCTTAATGTGGTCAATCTATTCTTCGGCTTCTTGAACACACAGAATTCAGCAATAATATTTGTTTTCATGTCCTAGTCTACTAATTCTGCCACTAATGTCATTTCTGGGTCTATTTCAATCGATCGATGTTTGTGTTATCCTCTTTTTTTAAAGGTCTCATAATTTTTAATTGGATGGCAGGCATTTTAGATTTTCACATTGTTGGGTACGGTATAGATTTTTGTTTTTACAAACATTATTGAGTTTTGTTCAGAAACATGTTGAAGTTATCTATTAACATGTTGATCCTTTTGGGTCATATTTTTAGGTGTTACTAAGTGGTAGCAGAGTTGATTTTCCTGAAGTCAATTTTCCTTCATGATTATTTAGGTTGAAGATGTCAAGTACACATTTCAGAGAGTGGGAAGATCGTGTTGTCATTCTTCCATCTCATATAACACTTTATCATATGAGCCCATGAAGAATGACACAGAGCAGTGTATTTGTGCAGACAGTAGTCCCCATTCAGTATTGGTTAATATTTAAATTCTTTTTTTAAGGCTTATTTATTATGCATACAAGAACTCGGGTACAGGCCAGAGGCATGGGGGCTGAGAGGAGTCACCAGAGACAGAGTGGGGAGCAGAACAGGCGGACTGACTGAAATACACTGCTGAGGGGAGCAGCAGGTGAGACAGGAGAGGTCTGCTATGCCATGCGGGTAGCATCCTGGCTGGGGATTGAATGAATGCAGTGCTGCAGTGGCTGAGAATAGCTTCATAGTGGTGCAACTTAACCCCCTGTGCCACCAAGGAGGCCCCCGACGTTTAAATTCTTAATGTTTGACCCATGTTGTCATTTGCTTAATGCTTTGTGGTAGATAGATATAGCTAAAAATATCCAAAGAGCTGACTTGGATAACCTAGAAATAGATTACAATATCTAAAAACTGATTGATTTTTTCATACTGGTTAAAGTGCTTGACTCTTGCTAGAAGCAGATTTCCATGTTTTAAAAATATAATGCAGATTTTAATATTGCTCTGAAATCTCCGACACTATTTCATATGCCAAATGTGCTTGCTTTTTATATTGAAAATTTCTAAAATTATTCTGTCATTTTGTTGTAGAGCAACCCCGATACAAAACGGGGTGCCTGACTGTGGGTCCTCACCCGCGCGCTTAAAAGGACATATCAATGCTCTACTGCAGGCACACGTGAAAGGTTAATAAAAGGTTTATTTACAACGGAAAGGGAAATGAGGAAATGTACAGCTCTGGGAGAAAAGTGGGAGACAAAGTTTTAAATGCGTCCTACCCGATCCGCCGATCAGGAATCCCAAAATGGCGCTCTCAGTTGGCCGCCAGCCAGGAGCGGTGAAGCCAGGAGGCGAGCGATCGCGAGCCAGAGAGCGAGCAAGGCCCACGTGTTTGGTTTTTATATCCAACCTGGCTGCCCAACTCCACCCTCAGGTCCCAGCCACCCTCCCCTTGGTGGTGATGGGATTTGTCTTTCCCAATGTCCTGATGGCTTTAGTCTGGAGTGGGGGTGGAGTCCACAAAGCCTGTATGAGATTATCTCAGGACATCCTTTCCCCCTAACAATTCCCCCCTTTCACTTTTTGCCACCATTTCCATGGTGATGAAGATCAAACATATGGATTCTGGGATACAGTCTCAGATGAAAATTTTCCAGGGTTCCAGTCTGAAAGAAAACGAATCCCTCCAGGTAGTGTCCATTGTGGAAAGCAAAAGTCCTCCATTCCTGGAAAACAGTTCATCAGTCCCAGCCAAAAAAACATCTGGAGGCATTAGCCAGAACAAGACAGCAGATATGTCAAAATCACAGGAAAAAAAAATCTTAAAATGGTTCAACTTATGTAAAGACAAATTCTCTCAACCTTGATCCCAAATTTTTTAAACAGCATAGCAAAAGTTTGCAAACCAAATCTACTTTTAAACCATATTGCCTATTTTTGCATAAAATCACAGGGCAGAATAACTAAGCAGCAATTTTTAGCTGGCTCCGTTGGAATACTCCATATAGGATTCAGAGCGAACTGTTGACATCCGGTCCGTGTAGGCTTCTGAAAGAAGTTGGTCTCATCAGACTCCACCTGGGCTTTCCTCTTCTCGAGGGTACCAGGGCTTTTTCGTTGGCCGGGTTGTCCAGTCCTGCCAATGGAGGCAAGCTTCCTCACCTTCTTTGGAGGTCTCTGGAACCCTACAAACAAGGCAAACAGGTTCTCCTCTTCTTGGTTTAGCTCTGTTTCGACTTTTGGAAGAACTCCACACAAAGCCACACAATCAAACTCACGTCCAATTTTTTTTTTTAAAACAGGCAAAATCCCTATGGAAGTTATGCAAAAACAGACTCTGAAATAAGTAGCAAAAATTACTACCACTATTTGTATGCTGTGTTGGTATCAAGGGGAGAGAAAATGTGACAAGTTAGCTTTGCTGGAAAAAAATTACAACCTTTCTGCAGATCCTGGTTAGTCAAAACAAAACAAAACAAAACAAAAATTTCGTGGATTCAGGACAGAATGCATAAAAAAAAAAGTTCCAGTATTATGTCAAAGAAACCTTAGTAAATGTCAGGTGTATTTCCAGGTCTATTGAGTCCTTTGTAAGAAAGTTTTACTCTCAACAGTTCCATCAATAGGAATCTGTTGAGACCTTTTCTCCCTATATTTCCAGAAACAATTTCTGTAGATGTGAAACAATTGAATTATAATATTACAAGGTGACAATCACCATTGACAATTTACATACATACCAGATACTACTGTTAACATTTTGTACATACCAAAGTTTTACCATTTTCCCAAGTGACAATGCTTCCCTTCCAGTTTTACTTCATTATGTAAAATCCAAATAGAACAAATTCATCTAATGCCTTTCCCAGGAGGAAAGGAGAAACTTTGTGGAGTGTCTCAGGAGCTCTACTGAGGTTCCACAAAATTTCCTTGCATCAGCCAAATGACAGGCTACCAAATTTGTACTTGAATTTAGATTTCTGGGAAGCTTTGCCATAAATATCAGAAAAATAACAGAAACAACAATGTTCAATCTCTATGAAGGCACCGGCTTAGTTCAGTAGCACAATGTTGACAATCAAACCATAACCTTTAGTTTTTCTCATAACTGGAGACTCTTTTTTTTTTTTTTTTTCAATGTCTATGGGCACCATGTATACCAATTTGTCAATCACTTGAGGTCAAGACAAGGACACAAGGAAAGGACATACAGACATACAACATATAGACACAAAGAGCTCATTAGTTACCATTTATCACGCGTGGGATATCTCATGCAACTGCAGTTTCACTCATTGGCCAAAGTAACAAAAAGAAAACAGAAAAAAAATCTCAAAGGTAAAAAAAAACAGAAAGTTAAAAAAAAATAACAAAATCAAAATCAAGATTGAAAACTTTTCTGTGTAAAAAAATAGTGGCACCATATGCATGATCCTAGATGTTATTTCACGTCTCCTAAACTTTGAAAAGAAGAAGATTGGTTAGAGCATGTTAGTTTTCTCAGGGTTTCTTCAGGAAAAAAAAAATGAGTCCTTGGGTATCCTGCAACAATAACTGGAAAAGAAGTCAGTAACATTCAAGTTTTTGTCTGTTTCTTAAACAAATATCTCAAGTCCTCAATGGGTTCACAAGACCAATGGGACTTCGTCTCTGGGTCAGTTCCTCCTGGGGCTTTCTTAACTCTGGAATGATGTACCCAGGGTTTTATGCCTGCAAGTTTCAGAGAAGTATGTGTGCTCAACAAGACATCATAGGGACCAGTCCATTTTTCTGACAGCTGGTTTTGAGCATCCCCGCTCTGCCAAGTCTTCAGTAAGACCTGATCTCCAGGTTTGAAGGGATGCAATGGTTGATCAGGAGGCATAGAGATCCTTGAGGTTGCAAAGTTATGAATCACTGCCAGAACCTCCTGGATGTGTTTCACATATTGCGTGATCCGGCAATCTTGTGTTATTTCCGGACTGGCTTTCAGAACTGAGGCCTGAAAAGGTCTTCCAAACACAATCTCAAGGGGCTTAATTGTAGCCCACTTCTAGGTGCCACTCTTATGCGGAGGAGGGCAAGGGATAGTACCTGGTCCCACGAAGTTGTGTTTCTTGGCACAGTTTTGCCAAGGTTTCTTCAAGGTGTGGTTCATCTTTTCTGTTTGCCCGGAAGACTGCGGTCTCCATGCAGCATGCAATTTCCAGTTTATCTGTAACGCACTGCTCACTGCATGGGTGACGTCAGAGACAAATGCCGGCCCATTATCACTCTGGATAGAGTCCGGCAACCCAAAGCGAGGGATTATCTCTTTCAGTAGCTGTTTGGCAACCTCGGAAGCTTTTTCCGTCTTT